AGCATTTACAATGCTTTCCTATGGACGCTGGCGTGCTCTCACTGTGAAAATCACAGTGAGAAGCACGCAAGCGCCTCTAGTGGCTGTCAATGAGACAGCCACTAGAGGGAATAGGGGGAAGGCTTAACCCATTAATAAAAATAGCAGTTTAACCCTAGCTGGACCAGGCACCCAGACCACTTCATTAAGCTGAAGTGGTCTGGGTGCTTAGAGTGGTCCTTTAAGAAAGTAGAAAAATAAATCTGTTTTTTTTTCAGAGTAGAGCAAACATCAGGCCTGTAATATTCACCACAAAAATGCAATCTGCGTGAAAAACACAGGAAAATAATCAACACTAATTTCAGCAGTAATGAAAATGGCTATTTGCTAAGATTTGAAATAGCCTGCTACATGTAGCCTAAGTTGTTTATTGCTGCAAATTGTATTAATGCTGGTGGTAATGTGCAGCTTAGGGTAGCTATTATGCTCAGAAAGTGACAGTGGGCTAGTAAATCAGTCTATTTAAAATGCATATCTGAAATGAACAGGTTACCATGCAACACAAAAATACAATGCGTGATAACTGCCTGAAAGGAAGAAAAAAATGCATAAATTGTGATTAAAATAACTAGGGATCGACTGATATTGATTTTTATTTTTTTTAGAGCCAATACGATAATCTGTGAGCTTTCAGGCCGATAGCTCACCGATATTATGTACATTTACGGTATTTATTTTATGTGTGCAAATTTTTTAATTTTATTAAAGCGGCACTGTCATGCCGAACTTATCTTTCCTCAATCTCTTCTCCCCCTCTCTCAGGATCTGTTCTTCCTGTCTTCTTTAGTTTTCTTTAAAATCATAAGACAAAGTAGGGACTCTTTGCCTTATGGAGGTTTCCTCCGCTTGAACAGCTTTGACCAGCGGAGTAGCAAAGTGTGCTTCATTTCCGCTGGTCAGAGCAATTTTCCCATGATCCTTAGCTTTCCTCCCTATTCCCACGATGCTTCCTGTCAGTAATGCCGAATGTCCTGTCACTTAGACAGAACGCCGACATTGAATTGCATCCTAACAGAATGAAAACAGTTTCTCCATTCGTGTTAGGATGCAATTCGGGACTTTATTCGGATCGCGATTTCATTCGAATGAATGAAACTCCAATCCTATTCGTGCTGTGGCTGCATCTTGCAGCCGCTTAGTAGATAACTCCCTAATTCCCACGGTATCAGGGAGTTATCTACTAAATACTGAAAGACCTAAATTGGGCTTTCAGCAAAATTTACTAATACTAAGTAAAGATTACTTAGTATTAGTAAATTCTGCCCCTACTCGCTATACCGCAAGTAGGGGCATGTCTATTAAATACATTTTATTAAAAAAAAAAAACCTACTAACAACCCCCCCCCCGCGTCGTGGGTGGGGGCTCCCTAAATAACAATTAGGGGGGACCTATTGTGATCCAGCCATAAATGACAATGAGGGGGGTGCCTACTGTCCTCCCCCCCTGGCCCCCACCCCTGAGCAGTGCGTGGGGTCCCCAAAAAAACAATAAGGGGGGGACCTACTGTCCTCCCCCCGGGCCCCCACCCCTGAGCGGTGGGTTGGGGCCCTATATAAGAATGGTGTGGGGGGACCTACTGTCCTCCCCCCCGGCCCTCACCCCTGAGCGGTGGGTGGGGGCCCTAAAAAACAATAAGGGGGGGGCCTACTGCCCTCCCCCCCGGCCCCCACCCCTGAGCGGTGGGTGGGGGCCCTAAAAAACAATAAGGGGGTCCTACTGGCCCCGCCCTGCAATTAGGCTAAGAACACTCTGATTGTTTGGTTTAAGCCAATCAGAGTGCTCTTTGTCATTTTACACAGCCTGGGAAAATTCCAAAGAACTTTCCCACGCTGTGTAAAATGACACAGAGCACTCTGATTGGGTGGCTTGAAATCCATCCAATCACAGTGCTCTGTGTCATTTTAAACAGTGTGGGAAAATTCCAAAGAACCGCTCAAGGGTGGGGGCCAAGGGGGGAGGACAGTAGGTCTGCCCCCCACCATTCTTATATAGGGCCCCCACCCACCGCTCGGGGGTGGGGGCCGGGGGGAGGACAGTAGGTCCCCCCTTATTGTTTTTTTTAGGGCCCCCACCCATCACTCAGGGGTGGGGGCTGGGGGGAGGACAGTAGGTCCCCCCCCTTATTGTTTTTTAGGGCCCCCACCCACCGCTCTGGGGTGGGGGCTAGGGGGGGGGGAGGACAATAGGGTCCACCCCTTTTTGTTTTTTAGGGCCCCCACCCGCCGCGCAGGGGTGGGGGCCGGATAGTAGTTTTCTTTTTTTAAACAGTGAGCAGCCACGGGCATTGGGGAGATTTTAATCTCCCTTATGCTAAAATGGGGGTCATATTGACTCCCATAGAGTGAGGGGGGACCTGGGGGGCTTATGAAGTGGCGGGCAGCACTGCTCCCTGATGCTTCTATTTTTACATATTACAAGGAGGGAGCTGTGCGCCGGTAGCTCCCTCCTTGTAATAAACTGCACGAACAAACGAACACTGATACACAGTGTTTGTTTGTTCGTCTGACAATGCTATTCATTCATTAATCTTTCTAATGAGTGAATGAGTAGATGAAATTCCCGTTCGCATGTCCAAGTGTTTCACTGGGCATGTGCGGGAATCTCAGTGCTATCTAGTGTGGGCAGATGACGGGTCCCACAGGGACTTCATCTACCCACACAAAGATGGCGGCGCCCTGAATATAGATCTGGGCAGAAAATATAGATAAAAAAATAGGTATGTAACATGGGCTAAGTAAATCAATATGTGAAAAAAATTTTTTTTTTTCTTCTTGACAAAAGTAGCACTATAACATTCCCAACATGGCTTGTGCAAAAGCCCATTAATTCACAACACATATAGACACTGTCAGACATATGAAAAACTTATGTATTACATCTTGTACATTGGGGGTTAGCTTTTCCAGCTACTTCTCAAGGGTTTTTTCGTTTAAAGGACCACTCTAGGCACTCAGACCACTTCAGCTTAATGAAGTGGTCTGGGTGCCAGGTCCAGCTAGGGTTAACCCATTTTTTTCATAAACATAGCAGTTTCAGAGAAACTGCTATGTTTATGAATGGGTTAAGCCTTCCCCTATTTCCTCTAGCGGCTGTCTCATTGACAGCCGCTAGAGGCTCTTGCGTGCTTCTCACTGTGATTTTCACAGTGAGAGCACGCCAGCGTCCATAGGAAAGCATTATGAATGCTTTCCTATGTGACTGGCTGAATGCGCGCGCAGCTCTTGCCGCGCGTGCGCATTCAGCCAATGGGGAGGAGAAGAGGACGATCGGAGGAGGAGAGCTCCCCGCCCAGCACTGGAAAAAGGTAAGTTTTTACCCCTTTCCCCCTTCCAGAGCCGGGCGGGAGGGGGTCCCTGAGGGTGGGGGCACCCTCAGGGCACTATAGTGCCAGGAAAACGAGTATGTTTTCCTGGCACTATAGTGGTCCTTTAATAATAACATTGGTATTGTGTGATCGTCTTGTCCCAGATGTTACATTTTCGTAAAACACAGTAGGGGTGTATAGCTTTGTGGGATTTTTCATCCTTTGTGTAATCCCGTTACTCTGTGTCCCGGTTTAATAGGACGAGTTCTGGTCTCAACAAGATAATTTGCTTACAGTGGCTAGCGTGCACTATACCTAACTCTAACGGTAATTGACATACATCCTTCGGCGTCAAGTAGCGTACAATATTTTAAGGTAGTGGTTTTGGTCAGGAGGGAACTCTGTCTCTCGTCCCTTGTGGTGTGACCCTGCACCCGCCAGGGGAATATGTGAAATTTTTATCTTTCTGCTGCCTTTGACATTGTTGACTACCTGCTTCTCCTCCTCATCCTTTGCAACATTGGCACTGCTCTAGCATGATTCTATTTCTAACTCTCTAAATGCTCCTTGAATGTCTCATTTTCTGGTTCCTCCTTCAGTTCTGTACCTCTCTCGATTGTTCCTCAAGTGTTTATATTGTGACCTCCTCTTTTCTCAATTTACACTGCCTCTCATGGTGACATCCTATGGCTTTCTGTATCATTTGTATGATGACACCGAGATCTACCACTCCTCACCCGATCATTCTCTAAGCCTTGTGCATCGTATCACTGACTGCCTATCCCCTCTCTCCGAGTGGATGACTTCAAGATTCCTAAAACTCAAACTCTCCAGACCAAACCCATTGTCTTCCCTACTTCTAGGGCTATGTCTGTTCCTGTTTGCAATCATTACCTCTACCTTGCAGACATGGTGTCCCTTAAATAAAGTCCCTTACATAAAATCTATTTCAAAATCCTGTCGCTTTCACTTTAAAAATATTTGCTGTGTTTTCCTCTTTATCAATCAGAACTCAAAAAAAATGCTTTTTCATGCGCTAGTTGTTTTTCCCTTTCATTATTGTAACCGTCTACATATGAGCCTAAAAGTCCATAATAAATGCCTATATTTAGATATCTTACCTTGCAGCTCTAAAGTTTGCAAAGATTCAAGGAATAGGAGAGTAACAAACAAAAAAAACAGTTCACAATGAGAGTAGCGTACATAAAATTGAGAAATCCCACTCCAAGAACTGCACATAATACATATGAACACAAGGAATATGAGGTACTCAAAGAAGCTATTTGTCAGTTCCTACCTAATACGAACTCAACGTGAAATAAGCAAGGAAAAAGAAGGGAGAGACAGAGACATACGATGGAAATTAAAAGGGAGAAAGACAAGCCAAGAGGAAGAAAAAAAGAGGTGAGGGGAGATGATGTGGGGAGGACTAAGAATGGATGAAATAGAACCAGCCACATACCACATCTCAAGGGGGTATAAAATTAAATAAGAGGCAATGCAAAGGCACTGCAGGGAGGTGTCAAGACATCCAGCTATATGTACAAATTTCTGTGTGATAGAGGGCGCTTAAAATACAGAATTTCTCAACATCAAATACGCTACAACACTCTAGTGGGAATCCCTCTTACCCACCAAAAACATCCTTAGAGAGCAGTGGAAAAGAGCTGTAAAAGCTATTAACCTCAAGAGTGGAGCGTGAAATGGTGGAAATATAACCACCTATCCTAAATGGGAATAAGTCAGAGTATTCCAAAGTGGAGTGAGCCTCCACTAGGACAAGCTCAAGTCTATTCAGCGTAAGTGCCGTCTGGTGGCACTCTCCCCTTTTTGTCAAATGTTACCTCAAGGGACGAGACAAATACAACAAAACAGGAAACACCTTATGGTGTAGTATATCACAATATGTGGTAATAGAGTATAAAGTGCAAATTAATGCTCACCTTGTCCTGAGCCTATATACCTAGCTCAGGATAGAATTGCTTACGTGTCTATGAACAGGACACCACCTTTCTTTAGAGCAGCTTTCAAGAAAATCCACAACGGACCTCAAAAAGCAAAAAAAAAAAAACAGGAAAAACACCCTCTGGTGTAGTATATCACAGAATGTGAGTAATGGGGTATAAAGTGCAAATATTTTGCTCACCTTGTCCAGAGTCTCTATACCTGGCTCTGGATAGAATTACCTAGGTGTCTATAGAGGGGACACCACCCTTTGGAGCCGCTTGCAGGAAGATCCAACTTGAACTTGAAGTATAAATAAATGTATTCTACACAACTAAGTTAAAATAAATATAATAAAAATGAATAAACAAACTGATGATTCTGTTGATTCTTGTTCTGAGACTCGTTCCGAGACACGTTTCACCCGATATAAGGGCTTTTTCAATCGATACCAGACAGAAGTAATGGCCCCAATAGTGGAATGTGCTTTCAGGTGAAAATACTCTTATTTGTTACTCTGAATGCTACTTTTTCCTATTGCCATCTCCTGGATAGTGATTTAGAATTTTGTGACTGTTATTAAGGCCATGAAATACCACATTTTGCAAATGTTTATCTTTAATCGTGTAAATTGCTTCATGCAATATTGTCATATGACTTTTAAAAAAATTTTTAAATCCTAGTCATACATAACATTAAAATGATCAAGACTAATAATTCAATGTACTTAAATTGTTTAATTTTTTTTTCATAAATTTAAAGTGAATTTCAAATTTAAGGCCAAATTAGCAAAAACAGGAAGAGTAGCTGAGCTATAAATGTTATATATCTCTGCTACACCTATTTAATAGCACTCTGTCATTGCTCAGAAATTCCTGTGCTCTGTGAAGAGCTCTTAAAGAGTTGTATATTTTCTCATACTGATTACTCACCCTTCTGTTAGTCTTTTTGCATGTGAACCTTTTTCCATCTGGGCCGACATTTTGCTAGATCTAACGATGCCTATGATTTCTTGTCTGTTACCATGTACTTGTACCTCCGGGTGTTGAAAGGAAGAGGTACATAGTAATCACAAAGGAACTTTCTAGTGTGATAATAAGTGTTATCGGTTTGTTGGATTCCATGAAGAAGAAGAATGTTCCTATACATGTGTAAAAAAGCAGAATCGTAAAACCAATCACGGCAGGGAAGGGGAGAGTCCCTTTTAAGCCATAAGCCCCTCCCACAACTTCAGGCCAAGCCTTCCAATTTGTGTTCAGGGCAACATTGATTATGACATGAGGTAAGATTGTTGTTAGCAATCTGTGATAGGAAAAAGTCGGTTGAGGTGTGCCAAAACCGAGGTATGCTGTAGGCCAGTAAATAAAGTGGGCAAAAAGGAATACATATCATGCTCGAAATACATTTATTGAGTAAAGAACATAATACAACGCAAGTACATTAAGGTGAAAATTTTTTTGAATTCCTTTCGGATTTCCTGTACCGTTTGGGTATGTTTACTGTATATGCTGATGACTTCCAGCGACCTAGAGTTTTAATGATATGGACTGGAAGGTCCTGGCTCGATGCTGTAGATGCGCCCCCTATCCTAAACGAGTGTCCTGAATAATTGCTGGGGTTTACACCGAGCCTTGTTAACAATAAGCGTACGTATAGCATAAACTTAGAGGTAGTGAGGATAGCCCTATGAAGTGATAGTAGCAGAAGAGATGCGAGATTCGGTACGGTGAGGAGGTAGGAATCAAAAACCTTCACTGTGCACCATGTATTGTACTTGGGATAGTATGGAATGTGGACGGGTTAACCCATTTGACTCGTTTTAGTCACAGGTAGAGTCAGTATGTAATGATCTTGATGTTTGATTAGGTATGAGCTTCTAAGACAACCTTGTGCGTTGTGTTGGCCACTGATGGTGAATTCTCGTGGCCTCAGGAAGCCGTAAACGGCCAGATTCATCGCGGTTTTAATGACGGAACTGGGACTTGGCAGCATACGAAGAAAAATTGATGACAGGCTGCTAGCCACGTGAGTTTCCTAACAAACCTAATCATCATTAACAAAGATGAACGACCTTTGTTAATGATGTGAAAACAGGGAGCTGGCTGCACTCACCTGAATATGCATAAGTAGAGTGCTGCTGGGAGCCAATTTATACAATAGAAACAGAAAATCCAGCGCGCTCCATTATCCCCCAAACAGCAACTTCAGTGCTGACAGATTTAGTTAGTTTTTTTTCCTTTTTAAAAAAAAAAAAAAAACACCTAATCCAGGCAAAAAATAATGGGGGTTTGGTTACATTATATACTCCCCAAGGGGGGAGATGCACGCATTAGCCCTTACCCATAGGAAAGAATTTAATCAATGCTTTCCAGTGTGGAATTTGAGGACATTATATGTTCAATGAGGATGAAGTGGTCTAGGTGCCTTTAGGGTCCCTTCAAAATAAATGAAACAAGTCCCAGCAGACTAGTCTCATGGTAACCAAGAGCATAAAGAGAATAATTTAAAGCAGCACTAAACGGTAGCAATACAAATATGTATTTCTAATGCTATAGTGCCCTAGTAACTATTTAGACAAGGCCAGCATTGTCAGAGTTTTTTTTTTTTTTTTTAAATATAATTTACTTACATTTTCAGCCGAAGAGGAGGAAAGGAGGCGGAGAGGAGGAGGAGAGTTCCCCGCCCGGCGGGAGGGGGACGAGTGTTTTCCTGGCACTATAGTGGTCCTTTAAGTTCCCTATCTTAAAATGTGTAGAGCAGTGGTTCCCAAACTTTTTAGGTTCAAGGCGCCCTTAATATTTCAATATTTATCCAAGGCACCCCAAGTCACAATTTCTAGCTTGTATATCTGTACAGCGCTGCGGCATTTACTGGTGCTGGTGTAATGTACAGTGTTGGTGTTTGAAGGAGGGCTTGTATATAGTTTTAGTGGGTGTGTTTGTATGTAATGTTTGTGTTTGATTGCAGGGGTGTGTTTGAATGTAATGTTCACTTTTAAATGTATGTGAAATATTTGTGTTTGTTTGTATATCTTTTGGAGTTTGAATGCAGGGGTGTGTTTGCATTTACTATTTGTGTTAGATTGCAGAAGTGTGTTTGTATGTTGTGCTGGTATATGACTGCTTGGATATATGTACATACATGACAGGCTGTCACTTCCTCCCAGCCGGCCGACGTTACAGGTGCCCAGTCGCAGTCTTAAAGGATTGCGGCACCCGACAGGGCCCGTGTTAAGCAGTAATGTTTCCCTGGTTCTATAATCATAGCATGGGGAAACATTCCGCGGCACCCCTGTGTGCACAGTTTGGGAACCGCTTGTATAGAGCATCTTTACCTTTGTTGCGTTCCAGAAGGCAGCCTTATTTTGACCGTTTCTATTCAGTTTCTTGTTTTTTGTTGCTGAGGCAGATGCCTTTGGTGGTTTGGCAGAAATAGCAGTTTGAATCCCATCATGGTGTATTGATTTTTATTTTATTTTTTAAAATTTCTTTATGCATCACACAAAATGTGATGATCAAAAGAAACATATAAAAAAGGTTCAAAGTCATTACATACCAAAAAACAAAAAAAGCTACACAGGGGGGACGGTCAAGAGAGCGAAAAGACCCTACAACACATTGGCATTCATCACCTCAGCCCATGGCTACCACATTGTAGGGATAATTGTGGAACAACATTTTATTAAACAAGAAAGAGACATGGTGTTCTAAAGGCTGTGAGCTCATCCATTTATTTATTGTCTTTGAAATCTGCCAATAGGATGATATATTGATTTTTTGCTTTTTCAGGAGAGCACATTTCTGTGAAATGTCGGCAGCATAACTAAAGTATCTCAGCCATATCAATGTCAACATAAATTCCTCTTATTTTCATTTACTTCCACCCACTTTTATTTTCTGTTGGGTTTACTCATTCTCCATCTCCATGAATTTAATTAGGACTCCCTTGGTGAACTCCCTGACTTGAGCTATGTTTGCAAAGATAATTTTGACAGAGGTCTGTCAGCATACTCTTAAGAGCCACTTGTGATCACTGGTGAGGAATACCTGTTTTCCTGGCTAATCACGGCAGCATATACATTATGGGTTAGCTCTGACCCTTACAGCCGATAGCACAGGAAAATCACCAAAGACTTTAAACGAAGGCTCCATTCCGAAGTTCCTCAGTCTTTTCCCTGTCCTACATCCCTTAGGATGTGAGCATTTCGCTCCCTTTAGTTATGGACATGTGTGGTTTTTTTTTTCTCTTCATTGCTTTATTTGTTTTTGCTATTTTAGGGTGCCTTTATTCTGTGTTGCCTTTATACTGTGGTGTTTTTATACTATGGTACTTTTAAACTGTGAGGTCTTTAAACTGTGGTGCATTATGCAGCTGTACCTTAGGCTGAGATGCCTTTTTACAGTGGTGCCTTTAAACGTTGACTTTTGTACCTTGTTGCCTTTTAATCACTTTGAAGGCACTTTTACTTTATTTCTTCTGCTTCCCCTTGGTCCCAGAGATTTATTCCTAGTTCCCTGGGTGTTCAGGGGCCATGTATGCTGCAGACCAAGTTCTCTCCCCGGTCTCTAAATGGCAAATGCACTCAGAAGACGCCCGTGCATGTGCAGTTTGTGCCTTAAATGGCCCAATACCGATGACTTGCATTATGGGAATACAAGTTGTGGCAGCCATCTTGGATAGGGGCAATTGAAAGTACCTAAAATGGAGGGTAAATTACAGTAATCATCCCAAACTTATTTGGAAAGTATTTGCAGGGTTTCCAGACATGGGTAAGTGCCAGTTTAAAAATCTGTTTGACTGTTGTCTTGGTGATAGAATTTGACAGTGCCCTTTTTTACTTTATTACTTTGCCACAGGTAATATTTATTTTTTTATTTATTTTATTGTTTATTTGATGTCTGAATCTACACCATATTCTGATTGT